TATGGTCTCATTCTTATAATTTAGTCATTTTTTTTACCGTTTTTGGCACCGGTTGGTTTTGATGGCAACTCCTTGATCTGTTGACCCCATTTTTATGCCAAACCTTCATTGTCTGCTTTTATATGATCTATTAATTGGTTGGTCGAGTCTAGGAGTCGTCCTAATGTTCCAACTCCACAACTTCCACGAGTTTCTCAGTCGATGTGATTCGACTAAGTATAATTCTCGTTATCTGTATAAGAGTCGAGATAGTTTCTTACGGGATTATCTTGACTTATGTAGGTGTCTGACGAGCGGTATCTCGATCACCTACGACTTTTCGGTTATTTTGTTTTGTCGTCCGATTCCAGGTGGGTTTTATTTGAAAATTTATTATGCCGTAATTAATTTATTTGTTGTTGGGTTGGTATATGATCAATGCATGCTTGTAAATTTGTGTAACCTTCCATGTGAGCTGGATGTCCTTCGAATGGTTTTCCCCATCGTTGAGAGCTGTATGTCCTTTGACGGTTCCATGTGAGGCATTCTCCCTACGTCCTAATGATAGGCCATACCGTTGAGAGCTGTATGTCCTTCTGTATGCACTCCCATTGTTGAGAGCTGTATGTCCTTCAATGACTAATGATAGATGTGCATATGAGTGAGATTATTGGTGTATTGATTGGAGATGTGACATGTCGAATTAAATTTATGATCATGTTGTGACCATACTCTTTGTTATATTATGTTGTTATTTACGTGCATAGTTGTGAGCACTACTGTTTCTATTTGTGCTCATCCCCACTTGCTCTTCATGGATGCAGGTTAGTAATGCGGGCACGGCGGAGGGAGGCGAGTGGTGGTCATATATCTGATATTGCTTCTGCCTATTTGAATTAATTATTGTTATTTATGCTTTTTGAATAATGAGTATCAGATTATTGATAGGGAGTGAACTCCCTAGTAGTTATGATTTTGACCTGTTTGGGAGTTACATTTATGATATTATTGGAAATTACTTTGGAAATGACTAGTGCCGCCATGTGTTTTGAAATAAATTTTGAAAATTTATTATGATTTTTGGAGAATAAAAGTGGGTCATTACACCATACCTCTCTCCGGTCTTCCTCGAGGTATGACGCGGAGGTTCAGGCGCTTCAGATCAGTCTTCAGATTGCTGTCTCGATCTCCTATCACATTTAGATAGAGTTGGACGTTGTCGTTGTCATCACACTCTTGACCTTTGGCCATCATAGCGCGTGGCAGATTTAGCATCAGCTCATACGTATTAGAGCCACACTTCGGACGATTCGTTATCAAATTTCGCGCATCCTTCGCGAGGGGAATCGACCTGCTGACTTCCTTGCTTGAATAGGGACTTCCTCCCCTAGAGGCCCATTCTTCACCCTCACGATGTTCCTCTCCGCCTCCGCATCTTTATACAGATGGACCACATGGGCTACCCATTGTTCAGATTTGAGTAGTCGGTCCTATTTTTATGTGCTTCTACTCACTCGTGGTGCTGACTCTTCGCCTAGACCCTCAAACTAGGCTCTGGTCTTTTTATGTTATTTGATGTTGTTGCCTTTTTTTTCTTGATTGTTTTTGTTTGTTTGGTTTGTTCTATCTTGGACGTTAGACTTGTATACTTGTGACTATTCAGCCCATTTAAGGCGTTTTTAATATACAAGTTGGGGAGTCTGGTCTTAACCCTCGAAGGCCACCCTTCGAGGGTGTTGTTTGTCCAAAAAAAAAAAAAA